GTCTGCCATAATTCTGATGGGCTTTTCCTTGTAAGTAATCTGTTTCTTGTCTCTGACAGCTTTTAATATTCTGTTCTTATATTGGGTTTCTGGGGTCTTGATTAATATATGCCTGGGTGTAGTTCTGTTTTGGTTGTAGGTGGCTGGAGTTCTGTAGGCCTCTTACATATGAATATCTTTTCCTTTTCCTGTGTTTGGGAAATTTTCCTTATTTCTGTGAATAGCTTTTGTAGCGCCTTTGTTTGTACCCCTGCTTCTTCATTCACATTCTTTATTCTTAAGTTATAGATCCTCTTGTTGTCTTCTAGCCCTTGTATTGTTACTGCTAGTTTCCTTGTTATTTTTAAGAAATTTTTCCTTTCATGATCCCACATTGCAAACCTGTCCTCCAGTTTGGATAATCTATCCTTAGTTTCTTTCAAGCAGTTGTGCCAGCTTTAATTGAGTTTTTAATTTCCTGGTAATCTCTTTGAACTTGATATATGTATTCTATGTTTTCTTTATATTCTTCAACAAATAATTCTCCCCTCTTTTTTGTTCCTCCATTCTTCCATCTGTGTTTTCTTGAGAGGTGCTTAGCATTTCTTTTGTTAATCTATTTATATCTTGCTTTACTTGGTTAAATATTTCACTTTTGAACTCATCTATAGGTCCCAAAGATATCATTTTATGTCCACTGGTGCCATGTCTGATATTGCATGTTTGCCATCCTCAATCTCCTTTGCATTTACCTTTCCTGGATCAGTGTTCTCGGGGTTGGGGGCTGGGGACCCTTTCTTGTTGCTTCCTCTTCTCATATTTTTTGTTCCTTCATACAGGTTTATGTAGGAGGCCCCAGTTTCTTTCTTTGTTGGTTACAGTTCATCTGAAGCATGCTGACTAGGTGCTCCTGCCCACTGCAGTGTACTGTGGAGGCACAAACAGGGGCAGCATATGCTGGGCCCTCACCTCCAGGTCAGTCAACCTGCTGAGGGCTTCACTGCATTACAGTGCACTGCCAGGCAGAGGGACTTGGTTTGGGCTTACCTATTGGGTCTCAGCCCAGGGTGTGACCCAGGTCAAGCACACCCCACCAATCCCACTTGAGAAGGTAGCAGCTGACTGAAGTCACCACTGCTCCTTGTTCTCACCAGTCTGCCTGGCCTCAGAACATTGTCTGTTGGAGCCCCTTTTTCTGTGGATTGGTTTTATTCCCGTTCACTGCAGATTGATGTAGGCTCCTTGCCAGCTCAGCTCTCCATCCACTTGCCAACCCCCAACCTCAGTGTGAGTACATCTCCAGTGAGTTGAAGCAGCAGGCTTTCAGGTAGCTCAGTAAGGCTTTGGAGTAGCTCGGTAAGTCTTGGCTGCATGAGTTCAAGCACTGCAGCAGGAGCACTGAGCCTTTAGATGTTCCAATAGTAGCACCAGGACTGTATGTTTAATTGGTTTCTCACAGCTTAGTTTCTTCCTGGGTCGAGACAATCCATCTCCTTTTGTTCGGGACTCCCCACACTGTATTATTTTTGGAATCTAAGTTGACTATCTCAGGGAGCCTCTGTAGCTTACTGTTATCCATCCCAGCCACCTTATCTTTGACAAAGGTGCTAAACACATTCACTAGTAGACAGATAGCCTCTTTAATAAATGGTCCTCAAAAAACTGGCACTATACATGCCGAAGATTAAAACTGGACCCATATCTTTCACCATGTACTAAGCTAAAATCAGAATGGATCAAAGATCTTAACATCAAAACAGAAGCATTAAATCTGCCAGAAGATAGAGCAGATAAGACTCTTGAAGACACTGGGGTAGGCAAAGACTTTATGAGCAAAACCCAGATTGCACAGTAACTATCACAAAGAATCAAAAAGAGGGATCTCACCCTACTGAAAAGCTTTTGCACAGCAAGAGAAATGACCAACAGAGTGAAGAGACAACCCACAACATGGGAGAAAAAGTTTTCCAGCTATTCCTCCAACAAAGGATTACTATTAAGAATACATAAAGAACTCAAAAAATCAGTCCTCTCAGATTTAAAGACCCAATCCAAAAATGGACATCTGAGATGAATACATACTTCTCATATAAAGAAATACAAACAGCAAATAAATACGTGAAAAAAATGTTCAATATCACTAGTCATTCAAGAGATTCAAATTAAAACAACACTGAGGTTCCACCTCACCCTGGAATGACTATTATCAAGAAATCAACCAATAGGGGCTGAGGATTTAGCTCAGTGGCATAAATGCCTGCCTGGCAAGCGTAAGGTTGTGAGTTCAATCCCTGGTACCAAAAAAATAAAAAAAAATTTAAAAAAGAAATCAACCAATAACAAATGCTGGAAGGGTTGTAGGGGGGAGGAACCCTTCTCCACTATTGGTGGGAATGCAATCTGGCACAACACTGTGGAAATCAGTGTGGAGATTCCTCAAAAAACTAGGATTGGAGGTCCCATTCGACCCAGCTATTCCCCTTGTGGATATCTTCCCAAAAGAATTAAAAATCATACCACAGTGATGTATGTGCAGCCATGTTTATAGCAGCAGAGTTTGTAATAGCCAGATCTTAGAAATAACCTAAATGCCCATTGACAGGAATGAGTAAGAAAAATGTATTTTTATACAACAGAGTACTCAGCCATAAAGAACGATAAAATGGAGACTTTTATAGGCAAATGGATGCATCCTGAGAACATACTTATTAGTGAGGTAAGATACACGTGTAAACATTGGATTATTTCATTAATGTGAGAAGCTGAAAGAAATGTTTATATGTGTGTGTGTATATATATATATATGTCTATAAAAGTGATAGTTAAGATAGTTATATACTGATTTCTCTGAGCTCACTGAAGAGAAAGATTCGCACTGGTATTGTTTGGAGAACTGAAGGCAGATGTCTTGTGCTCTAGGTGAATGATTTGGGGATGACAACACGCAATGTATGTACCATTGTTGCCCTAATTGACATGGTTTGAAATTTTGTTGTAGATTTTTTTATCCTTGAAATAAAATGGATTTGAAAACAAAATTGCCCAGTAATCTTTAGGCGCTATTAAAAGCATAATCATTAAAACTGTACTTAAAAGTAGCACTTTGTAACTCACTAGAGGAAACTTGTTATTCTGCGAAACTTCACAGCACAGCAGTGAAAATCCAATACTGCTCCAGTGCCTGGGAGAGCAGACCTGGGGCTGGGCTGCATCTGACCCGGCTTTCTGGAGAGGGGTGAGGAAGAAGCTCACAAGGGGCTCAGCTGCCTGCACTCTGGGCTGAGGTCCCATCAGAAGGCCTCTCAGGTCTCCACAGCCACAGGACAGGCCCAGCTCCTCAGTGCCAGCTTTGGCTTTCTAAAGAACAATGGAGCTTTCTATTTGAGCAGATTTTTCTCAGCACTTTCTTCTCTTGGCTCCGAGTAGTAACCACAGCTGTAAAAATTCTAATAATGACCCTTTTCTAAACACATGGCTTATTTTGGAAACACCACAGGCTCAGCTTCTCTGTCCAGACATTTAGAAGCTGGTCTTCCCTCCAATGGTCTCCAAACCCCAGGAAAGGTTGCAAGTGCCCTTCTACACAGATGGGGCTGGGGGGGTACCCACCCACCACAGGTGCAATAGTTGAGGGCAGGGAAAGGAGGTGCTTTTTCTAAGTCCTCACCCAAACACACCTTGAACACCAAAGCAACGTTTATTCCATCACTCCCCAAACCCAAAGGCTCCAGACACATATCACCCAGATGGTGGGCGTGACACAACTTAGAAAGGGTTGGATTTCATCCGTTTTCACTAAGAGGAAGGACCCCTCAAAATACTCAAAGCAGAAACTATTCTCCAAATTAGTGCTCCTATTGGGTGTAGGAGAGGGGGTCACCCTCTGCTCCCCTCCTTCCACTCAGAGAAGTCGAATGGGAACTGCCATCATGGCCAGCAGAAGCACCACTGCTATTGAGCGGCCAGAGAGTATGAGGACTTGACAGCAGGTCACCAATTAGAGGTACTCCCCAAGGGCTTACTATGGAAGGCAGCCCTCCGGGAGGAGGATGTGACATGGTGCATGGGCACACGGGACATCCAGTCAGTGGTACTTTCACCAAGCATTCACCCTTCCTGACAGTTCCACTGTGGGGCAGAAAAGGGCAGAAATACTACTGCTTCTCCTTCTGAAGCTGTTTGCGACTGACAAGTCCAAAGTCCTCAGGCCCACAGAGCACCTTGTGAGGTCCACAGCCTGATCTAGAGACACCACGGCCCACCAAGCGAGAGCTGCTGTACAGCAGCTTCCCTCGCTCCAACTTGGGGCATTATTTCTTCCTGCTGACAACCTGAAAACCAAGAAGCAGAAGGCATCTGACTCCAGATTCCTTCCTAAGCCATGAGGCGGCCACAGGCGGGCAGGCCCGGGGCCAAGGAACTATCTCACCATTAGGGTGATGCAAAACAGAAACCATTTTGAGACAGGTCTTGCTATGTAGTTGGGGCTGGCTTTGAACTCAGTAAGTAGCCCAGGCTGGCTCAAACTCACCGAAATCCCCTTCCTCCGCCTCCCTAATACTGGGATCACAGGCATGCACCACCACATCTGGCAGTAAACTTCACCTTTTTTTAGCCATTATCAATTGCTTACCTGTTTAATAAAGAAAAAGCATTTTTCTCCTCACAGATGTTTCCTCCTTCTTTGAAATGAACCAACACAGACTCCACTCGTGTAGAAGTGTCTCTTTAAAGTCACTATTCAGTAGGCCTAACTCTTCAGGCCGTGGGTCTAACAGCTGCTCTGCTAAGGCTGGAGCCCACGAGGCCCACTGGGAGTGGAGGGCAGTGAGGCCCAGCGCGAAGGAGGAGGGCAGCACACGGCCAGGCCTTCAGAGTGCTGCAGGGGACACCTGCCTGTGCCACTCATCCAAAACTGCTGCTAGAAAACAGCTCAGCAGGTGTTTGCTATGTTGTGTGCTGATGAGGACACACACACACACACACACACACACTCAGGAATTAAAACGCTCACACAGAAGTGCAAGAAGTAAAACCAACCTGCACATTTATTTTAATGGAAACAAGGACAAAGGCTAGTCCCTACAGGTGACAGAGCATCCAGGTGGCTCTGCAGCTCTTCCCTCACTCTTTTGGTAGACCAGGTTCTAACTTTCGGCAAAGTCCACAAGCCTCTAAAGCCATTCGCCACTGTCCTCCAGGCTGACCGGCGTGCCGCGCAGGGCTGTATGTGCAGCTGGCCGGGTCTCACTGGACATCATCGTCATCAAAGAGATCTTCAAATTCTACAGACAGAATCACGTATTAACAGACACAGTACAAGTGACTGAGGAAACCACTTCACAATAAAGTAAATCATAGTTCGAGGCAGAAACAGTAAACAATGTTGCAGGAAAAGGATCCTCCTGTGATGAGACACAGCGTCACCCAACCAGGGCTCACAGGTGTGACTCTAGGGGATGTTGCTGTCCATATCATTTTTATTCATAAGACAACCTCAGAAAAAGCACACTGGGTGGGGACATGGGAACAATCGTCTCACACCAACACTGGGCACGGGGACAAGCTGCTGCCCACACCCGCACGATACAGCGAAAGTGGCAAGAGTCTAGAGAAGGCAGCAGAGGGACTGAGCTGGACTCCTCAGAAAGCTAAGTATGTTCTCGGCACCCGGTATGAAAGGCCTTAAATTTGAGACAGAAGTGCATCCCGCATCCTGACTTCAGACACAGTGGTGGGCTGGAGCCAGAGCATGAGTGTCAGTCTGCAAAGACAGTGCAAGCAAAAGAATTAAACTGGACCAACAGGTCTGGGCCTGGTAAGGAGGAAACAAAGAGAGAGCAGACAGACAGCTGGCCCAGTCTCTCTGCCCAGGTCGTGGTGACTGATAGGGTCCTACCATAAGCTCAGGTGTCCATGAGCTTGTGCCAAAGCCAGGGCTCAAACTCAACCTCTGAAATGTGAAGCAGGAACAGGGCTGACTGCCAGCGCTAACCACCACTGTCACTCCCTGCACCGAGAATGGCTCAGGGTCTAGGCTTCACTGTGCCATCATCCAAATTACCCATGTCACAAAGCTGCCCCAGTGCATCAACCTGAGGAAGAAACCATCAGACTGAGCCTGGCACTCAGCTACCCACATCCTTACCATTAAAAAAGTCTGCGTGAACTGCCTTTTCATTGGCTGCCAAGTCCATCAAGAGCCCGGTGCTGCCTCCCGCCTGCAATAAAAGGCAAGGTTATATCAGCGGGGTTTTCGGGGAGCAGGAGGTGAGTGCATCACAGTGTCCACCCAACCCCCGTGGAACAGGACACTGGATGATGGGAAGTGCACTCCAGCTGCAGTCGGAATTTTAGTTCCAGACAGAGGAGGTGCATATAGGAGTCGCAGGGACTACTTTTAAGGTTTCTTAAGGTCCCAAGTGGAGATCTCCAATGCCAGAGAGGCCACAAACATGTGGAACGCCAGCATGACTTCTCCACTCCAGCTACCTGCCCACCTTCTCCTGAGAACATGAGCATTTCTTTGGAGAACCTTCCCTGCCCTGGCCCATCTCAAAATCCCCCATTGCCAAAACTACAGTGGTGGTAAAATGTGACCACAACCAAAGCTGGGGGATCCTCCGCACTTAAACTCTGCACCCTGCTTAGAGTCACCCAGAGGCAGCAGGTGCAGTCCTCCAATGGCAGTACCCTAGCCAGCTGGCCACCAATCTCTGCTTCTGCCCTGGCCCGTACATTCTCAGGGCTGCTTGTTCCACCCTTCTCTGGCTCTCAGGATGCTAGCACCTCCTGTGTTCCCTCCCTCATGGCTGCTCTCAGGAGTCCCGGGCTCCTCCTTTCCTGTGTCCCACCCTCCTCTCATCCCAGAGTAAGCCATGCAGAGTGGCTTAAATCCTCCCTGCTCCACCGACTCACTCAGATCGTCAAGTCTCCTTTCTCTGCATTTCCATTTTTCTAGTCTGTCACCCTGAACCTCATCTCCAAAGCCCCCAAGTGACTACCCTAGACACAAATTAGTGTCTGTCCTCATGGCAATGCCCTCCAGTGATTCCACACTGCCTCCTACAGGGACTTTAACAGGACTGAGAAGCTGGGGTTTAGAGCAACTGATTCAAGGGTGAGGCCCACAGAACCCACCCATTTTGCACTACCCTAAGATCAGGTTCCTCCCCTCTCCTTGGCACTGTGAGCTCTGCCAGACTAAACTGCAGGGTATTGCCTTCCTTAGTGGCCCAGGGAGCATGAACCCTGCAGAGGCGGCGCAGCTCCTCTCCTAAGCCCTGGCTGAGCCACCCACAGCCCTGAAGCCGCCTCAGAAGGGAGCCCCTACTTTTCCCCTACATTTAGTATATGCAATGGGTTTCTCTCTGCCATCCCCAACCTTCCTAAAGGCAGAGGCTGCGTCAGACCATCTTGGTACCCACTAACTCTGAAAATGAAAATGAGAAGCTCTGACATCCAACAGTTGGCCTGACAAGTCCGAGCTAGGCTGTGTATTCACCTGCTGAACCTAGACCACTGTGCGGATAACTCGCAATAGTCAAGGTCTGTCTGTGACCGCGCTGGACGAAACAAGAAAGAGGACCAAGACTTCCTCACGATCCTGCACAACTGTACAGAAAGGAACCAGATCACGGTGAAAGCACAGAATGCCAAGAATCTCCTTCTCCCTTCCAAGAAGAAAGACTGGCGTTGTTTATCCCCCTACTTGTTAGACGCGATCCTGGCCGCCTTCCTTCTCAAAAAAATTTATGGAGCGGCCCGATCAGAGCTGCCCGCTGCCAAGCAGCACCCACTCGGGAACAGAGCCTGCGTCCCTCCCACGCCGCCCCACGCAAGCTCACACATCGCGAAACTCGCGCGACCCTCGCCGCCTCCGACCTCGGGGGGCTCGGGACCTGGCTGCTCCAAGGACGGGGCCCCCCTGGTATCCCGGGCGGCCTGGCCGACCCTGAAGGTCACGCAGCGGAGACCGGAGACCGACGAGGCTCAGCGCCCTGGACACCTCCCTCGCCCGCTATCGCGCCATCCTCTGCCTGTCTCACCTCGTCCAGGTCCACGTAAGGCCCGGCACCCTCGGGAAACATCTCATCCACTGCCGGCTTCATTTCGGCCCGCGGCTTTACACCCACTTCCGGTTCCCAGCGTTCACTTCCGGTGCCTGCCCGCTTGGCAGGTTTAGGCGTTGGAGGACCACGACTCTGTGGTGCCCCCGCCGTGGACCAGGACCCCAGATACCGAGTTGGCAACTTGCTGTGCCGGGCTGCCGCTGCTGTCCCTAACCCAGGGAGCAGCACCGACCGGAGAGGTGGCCAGGTCAGAACCTAGGGAGAGCACCCAGGCTCACGGAGGGTGCGAACAGCTGAGCCCAGTGGGTGAGGGAAACGCGGGGCTGGGGTTCACAGAGCCTGAAAGGTGACAAGGTTCTGGAGATGGGCGGGGCGATGGCAGCGCACCATGCAGGCGCTTCTTGCCGCCTAAATGTAGTTAAAGAGGAAAGTTTGATGTACTATTTCACAGTAATTTTTTTTAAAATACAAATAAGAGGGAAGGAAAGACGAAAAAAATGATGAGAAAAAGTGGAAGAGGGATGGCGTCCAAGATGCACTTTCTGGCTAACTGCACTGTCCCCAGGCCCTGAGCCAAGGTCACCTGCCCAGCCTTGTAGAGCCAGTGTTTGCCCTGCGCCCTTATGGGAACCCCGACCCTGGAGATCGGATCCCCTCCACCATCCCAGGGATGTCATGCACCCTGGGCACCTTCCGCACAGATCCTGGGGTCAAGTTTACCAGACCACCCTCCTCAGCCATGCTGCCCTTGGTCCCTGAGTCACCGTCCAGTCCCAGCCCACCCTGCTGTTGTCCTCTGAGGCCAGGCTGTTGGGGTTGAGTCCAGTCTCCTCCAGCCCTGCTGGGGTGATCCCCGTGCCTACCCCAGTGACCCTGAATAGGTCTCCCTGGCCCTGCTTTACCAGTGTCTTTGAGCCACATTAGCTGTAACAGCTTTGAGAAGGAGGTGTGCTTGGGGCTGGGCTACTGGGAGGGGAGAGTGGTGTGAAGGGCCAGGGCTGCTCCAGGAGACCAGCCAAGCAAAGCTGAGATGGGCAGGGGCCAGCCTGGCCCATGTGGGCGGTGCAGGGACTGGGGAGAACAGTGCAGTGACTTAGATGCCAGGTCAGTGGGTGTCACCCAGGGCACCAAGGGAAGGTCAGGCCCAGGGACCTGACCGACTGGTGGCCAGGAAGAGCTGCCCATTCAGTCAGTTTCTTCCCAACAGCAGGTGCAGGTCAGGGTCACCAGTGTCCCCCCCCCACTTGTACACCTCATGGGGCGGGGACTCCCCACCTGCACAGAGCCTATCCCCAGCACATCCTTCACTCCTGAATGTCCTCCCAGGTTGACAGCCAGGCCCAGCCTTCCTTACTCCCTCCTCCCAGAGGGGACTGCTGGCCACTTCCATGGCCTGGGGCCAGGCTGCCTGGACTGGGACTGTCTCCTCCAGCCAGCTTTGTCGGCCTCAGTTTCCTCACTGCAATCTGGGGGAACTGCAGCCTCCCAACCTCATCACCATGAGAACAGGATGCAAGACATGTGGACGCCCCCAGGGCTGGAACTGCACATTTATTGAAGGCGTGTTCACACTGCACTCAGGAGAAGCAGGGTCTGAAGTAGCACTGGGGCTGTGCATAGCTATTTTTGAAGGAGACACTCAGGTCTCTGGAATTTATTAGGCACGAGGCCAGCCCCCCACCAGTGGCCTTGGCAACTCTGGACCTGTCCTGAGGCTCATCCAGCACCCCTCAGTCCTCCTGGTAGGGGACGTGGAAGCCCAGGGTGCTCCCCAAGGGGAAGTGTGCGAAAAAGGTGCGGGCCAGGTCCTCCACCTGGGGGTAGGCGCCCTGGGTCTGGAGGTACTGGATGTAGTTCCAGAAGTCAGAGGTGGAGAAGGGCCAGTAGGGCATGGCCGGCGGCTCAGCATAGGGGTCTGAAAGACACAGGACGCCGCCTCAGGTGCCATCCCCACCGTCCTGCCTGGAGCTGGCCCTCCACAGATGGTGCAGGCACCTGGCAGCCACAGTGCTTGTGGTACTGTGACTTCCTGGCTCGGAGCAGGGTCACCCAGGTCCTGCCCGGAACAGAGGTTCAGTGTCCTGAGAAACAGGAGGGAAGGGAGGGGAGGAAGCCAAGGAAGGAGCAAGAGGAGGGGGAGGCCTGGCCATGCAGAGGAGATGTTGAGTAGGGTCATGGACCTGTGGATGTCACAGAGCTCTGGCTGTGTCCTGGTGGGGTTCAGAGGACAGAGATCTAGAACTCAGGCACAGACCACCCTGGTGACACTGGATGGAGTTAGGATGCCCGGGAGAGCCCAGGGCCCAGTTATGGCTGCAGGAGAGGATGCCAGAGCCGCCCTTGCCCCTCAGTTCCCAGCAGGCAGCACTCAGCAGGTAGCCAGGCCCACCTCCCCTTGACCTCTGCCCCCACCCCTGCCTTGGAGCCCCTGAAAGGGCAGACAGGAGAACCTTACCATACTCCTGCAGTGGCTTGGCCTCTAGAAGAGAAGAGGAACACTGTCACCTGGGGCCACCCTGGAGAGCCCCCGACCCCCGCTCTGTGGCAGGGAGGGCTGATACAGCAGGGAGGATAGCAAGGGTGTGGGTGCAGGGTGGCCCCTCACCTGTAAGCGACCCCAGCAGGAGGCACAGGGCCAGCCCTGGCACCATGCAGGCCTGCATCTTCCCCGGACACAGCACACGTGGGTCCACCTGAAGCAGGGACCCAGAGGGCTGAGGTCACCCGACCCGACCTGACCTGCCTCTTCTGCCTGCCCCAGCAGATGACCCTCAGAAGGTCAGTGTGCCAGCAGCCTCTCTCTGTACCTGAGGGACACCCACAACCCATTGGCTGTACTTACTCTGATGCCTTAAGAGACTTTGCTGTCACTGTGCCTGTCCACCCAGGGCACAAGGCTAGCTCTCCAGAGTGACCCACCACAGTCACACAGCCAGCCGTGCAGCAAGGAGGGCGTTGCTGCTGCCCTGAGGCCACTGTTTATAGGAGCACCGGAGGCCAGGAAGGAAGTCACCCGCCTGAGCTGTCAGACTGGATATTTCATCCCTGTGGGCTCCTGTCACCCTGCTGGCCGGCAGAGTCACGGGATCCACTTGTGGGAACCTGATCCAAGGATCCAGTTGAGAGAAAAACATCTCCACAAGGCCACAGGCCAGGGCTAAAAGGACTGAATCCAGTTATTCTCCTCCAGGAAACAATTCCTACATCTGACACTGGGACTGGAGAGGGACCCGGTCCACCAGAGCTGCCTCAGGCAACAAGCAAGCAGGGATCCCCAGGGAAGCCACTGCAGCTGGGCCCAAAGGACACCTGCTAAGCAAAGTCACAGGCAGCGGACGTGGGCCAGGCTGGACCCTGTCTCCAGACCAGAGCTCTCCAGCTTACACAGCCTCCGGAAGTCTGTCATGGGTCAGAGGCACCAGCACCCAGGCCAAGAGGCCCTGTGGGTCACCCCTGCAGCTGCACTGACCACACCAGTGACCACCTGTCTCTCCAAGCAAGTGTGAACACTTGACCCTGCCCTTGAGGTCCCTACACCCTACCAAAGGCACTGAGAGTACACGGTGGCTGTTTCTGTCATCACTCCTGCTTCCAAGGCTCTTCAAGAAGCCAGGAAACTCCTCACCACTGTGTACCAGGGTTCTGCAGTGCAGGGTCCCCAGCTTTACTCTGATCTTCTCCTGTGTTCCCAGCCAATGAGCAGGGACCCATTCTTTCCCACACAGTTCCCTAACTTCAATACCAGGAGAGGTTACACATTCAGTTTGCATTACAAGGCCACCACTCACCACCACTCCAGGTATCATTTCCAGAAACCTGGTCCCTGTATCTTCCCTTGGGGCAGCTGTTTTGGGGTCCCCGGGACCACACCAGTCCCATGACTCACTAGGAGAACACACAGTACAGAGTCTATGACCACCGTTTATCAAAATGGCGATCTGTAAAGGCCAGGGAACATGGCCAGAGCCTGGCGAACCTGAGGGAGCTCCCAGCATGAGCTGTGAAAGGGCCCCAGGAAGAGGCTCACTGTCCACCCTAATGGCCACCCTGATGGCCACAGGCCTAGGTGATGGAAGTGCACTGGTGATGTTAGAAAGTCTCATGATATGACAAGTTCTGCATCTTTATAACTATTTCCCTCATAAAAGACAACCTAGAAAAGTCTGGGAATAATAACAGCAATCATACTGGGGTTGGGTTTATTTGCCTTTTTTCCTGGGTATATGTATTTTCTGTAATTTATTATTTTTATGCAAGAAAAGAAACACTAGGAACAGCCCAGCACCACCAGCAGCTCCTGTTAGTTCCCACTGCTTGCCCAGATGAGTGGACCTGAGGACCCATACGGCCATGGGGCACCTTCTGTCTGCCTTATCCCCCAGCCTGGATGTAGGTTCCGTGGGCTCCCACCAGGAGGATCCCCCACAACCCTCACTTGTCGGTCCTGCTCTTCCATTCTCTCCCACCACCCACCCAGAAGGCTCCAGGGCTGAGCATCCTTGCTGGCAGGGTGCCCACAGTTCTCAGCCTTTAACCAGGGTTCCTGTTAAAATGCAGGTGCCCATCCAAGGACCAGGGGCCAGGCCCAGGCATCGAGGGCCTGGTACAATGCGGATCCCTGCCGGCCTGTGTCAAATGCTCAGGTGGACCCAGGGATCTGCGTTTCTAACACATTTCCTGGCCTGCCAGGCTCTTTATCCCAGAGCACATTTGGACCACGTGGGCACTTTTGAATCTCTAGTGGGATTCTAACATAAGGGCTTGACACCTGTCCAGTGAGTGCTCTGAAGCCTGGCTGGTAACCACTGCCTGGGCTCAGTCTCTGCTCTCCAGCTCCTGCCTCTGTCCCACAGAAAACACAGTGGATACATTGCCTGGGCCACCTGCCTAGGTCAGGAGCCATCACAGTGCACAAGGCCAGTCCTGATGGGCAGAGGCCTCCCCTGGCAGAGAGGAAGGATGGCTGCAGGCAACCCCGGCCTTGGTTGATTAGGAGGTCTCTGGCGCCCCCTGCTGGTCATTGTAGGACGCCAAGCGTAGCCTGCTGGTGTGTCTTTGAGATGGACTGCCAGGAGCCTGTCCTGCTTTTCTGCGTTCCAGGCCACCTGCCCTGGCTCGCAACACAAGCACAGACATTCCTCGGATTCCTCTGGGACACTGCTCCTGCATCCTTCACCCTGTCCCTCTTCTCCATGGTCTCCTGCCTGTGATGCGCTCTGGACAAATCCATGCTGCTTCCACGGTGTGGCCTCTGTAGAATCTCAGCTGAGGCTGGGATAGTGCCCCTCCTGCCCCGGACCACATTCTGCAACGCCACTGGGGCCTGGCTCACTGCCTCCACCCCGTGCCCTGCCTGGCCACAAGTTTCTGCAGCCTCCATCATCCTCTCGGTCTCCCAGCTCCGCATTCTGTTCCGTGTCCTCTATTGTGCAGACAACAGTGCCCCCTGCCCTGCTTTGTTCCTCCCTGGGTGTCTCAGTCCGATCAGCTCCTGGCTCAGTGGGCAAGGCCCAGGATGTCAGGACTGGACACTCAGTGGACAGAGTGGGCTGTTTGCCTTCACCCAGAGCTAAAGCCCAGAGTCCCTTTCAGCTGTCCTCTCTGCTGCCCCTGCTGAGTCACAGGCCACATGGTGCCGACAACCTCCACCCTGGCCAGCATGAACCTCTGTCCTCCATGCCCCCAAAACTCCCTATAGAAGTGACCAAGTCCCTTGGGAAGCACCTCCCTTCTCCTCAGGGACTGGACATCTCCTAATGTCACCTATGCTTGTTCTCAAGACTCACCATATTTGCTGTTTTAATGAAGTAACTTCATCAAAGATCATGACACCTAACTAACATGAAAAAAGCCTTTTGGATGAAAAGTGACCACTAAAGTTAAATTTTCTGAAAAGGGTCAAATCAGATGTGGTGTAACAACTGTACAGGACAGGATCTGCAGTGGAGATCTAGAAGAAGTGGAGATCTGGGGTCCCCCTTGCTCCTCGTTCTGAGGTGTCAGGTTCACGCCTTATTGAGGGTGGGCTCCAGGGGCACCGTGCTCAAGGCCTGCGCTGCGGGGCCCCAGTCCTGTTCAGGCCAAGAAATAATGATCAGAGAGAAGCCCCTCCCCCAAGTCACAAGCCTGGACACCTAAGATCTGAACACCAACGTGCACATGGTTCTTGGTAAACTATCCCTTACTCCCTTGAACTGATGGTGAGAATTTACGAGCAGGTCCTAGTCCTGACCAGGAGAGGGCGCTCTGGAAACAAGAGGGAACCTGGCAGAGGGTGGGGAGGCAGAGAAAGCCTGGGAGTTACAGGATGTCGCATTAGATTTGAAATTTAAATAATTAATACTTTTCTAGCCTGGTTTGCTTCACGTGCCATCAGGGAGATGCTTATACCAAAACTTAATTCCTGTCTCACTGAAACTCTGCTTTCACTGTATCTTCATTTGCTGAATCTGGGGAAACTGTGCAGGACATAGCCCTGTGGCCCTGCCTGGCCGTGGCGCTGTGCTCAGGCCTGGCCACAACCCAAGGCTTCTGCCCAACTCGGCAGTGAGAAGGGGCCCCAGCTCCCACCTAACCACCCACGCAGCCGCTGCCCCCAGGCACAGGGCAGACGGCTCCAGGCCCGGGCCAGTGTTTTCTGAGGTGCTTGCACCTGGGTCACACACTGACATAAGGGCAGCAGACTGAACAACTTGGTCAGTGAGCTCGTGGCCTGGTTGCCAGGGCCAGAGGGAGCCCAGGTTGTTCCTCTAGATGGGGCCAGCCCAGGGTGGGACTCCGGGAGCCCTATGACTCAGCAGGACACATCAGCACTGATATGCGCATGAGAGGTATCCCAGCCCCAGGGCACTCCCCACCTGGATGCTGTGTCCAGGGCTCCTGAGTCCCACCCTCTCTCAAGAAGTGCTGCAGGGCCCAGCGTCCACTTGGACTCCAGCTGGAGGGTTGCAGAGAAGAGGACAGCTGTGGGGTGGCATCAGACCCCAGACACACAGGCCCCAAGGAACAGGCTGGCCAGGGCCCATCCATCCCAGGGCCTGACCCCTGCATCCCAAGCTCCTGAAGCCCACGCTGGAGAATACCTTTCACACTAAGCTAGCCATCCAATCTGCTCCTCTGAACCCCAAGTCTCTCCCATTGCATTTCCAGAAACAGAATAGGGAGGGGCAGAATATGGAGAGGGCTGGCACTTTGCTTAGCCAGAAGCCCTGGATCCCCACCATAGAGGCCTAGAGGTGGGTTGTGTGGGCAGCTGAGCCCCTGCTGTCCTGCTCCAGGGGTCTGATTGCTAGACAGGGCCTGACCAAGCAGTGTAGCACATTGCCCACTGGACTCCTGCCAGCGTAGCCCAATCCCTTCCCAGGTCACAGTAGGGACTGGGCACAGTGCTTGCTGGGGTGAGGACCTCTACACAGACTTGTGCACAGGACCAGAGCCCGAAGTGTCTTCCAGCAGCAGCCTACACTGACTGAGGAGACCCGCTGACACTCAGTGCCCCAGGGGGAGGAGGGTTGGCGCAGGCTGCCCAGATGCTTTCCAGGCTCTGACACTGGGGGTGCTGGGAGCCAGGCAGCCCTGAGTGGAGACTGAGCACATTTGACAACAGCCAGGCAGAGACAGCCAGAGTGAAGGTACCAGGGAAGTCCTGTGCAGGACTGGGGGGCCCAAGGCCTGCAGGAGCAAAGGGATCTGGACAGATGGCCAGTGGGGAGCCCTGGGACAAGGGCTGCAGACCTGGGGGCTGAGAGACACGACTTGGGTTGAGGGCAACTCTGCCCACACCATGAGTAATCGGGAGGCAGCCTGGCCCTGGGGGCACCTGTGGATACCCACGGCAGGTCTGAGTCCCCATCAGCTTCCCAAGCTACCGAACACGGCACGTTAGACTCAAACTAGAAGAGGAGAGCCGGGCTGGCCCCGCTTCCCAGGCCAGAAATAGAGCCATTGTTTACCCCTATTCACAGCCACATAAAAGCCGAATTTATGAGAACTGGGGCTCAGCGTGTTTCTCAGCCTGGCTGAGACACTGAGCAGTGTGGCTGTGCTGCCGCCCTGGGCCTTTGAGGGTCTCTGCTAGGAGCTGGCCCCAGCCTCGGAAGCCTCCCTACAGGCCACCCGCTGCTCCCTGACTTTCTGGCTCTCCCCTCCCTGGTGTTTGGTGGAAAGAGAGAGATGAAAGAGAGCAGCTTGCTCCTCTCGCTCCAGGCTGGTTGTCCTAGATTCTGGATCCATTGATCCATCCAGGAAACAGGTACTGTGAGCCCAAGCTGAGGAGCACACACTCCGCCTGGCAGGCCAAGAATCACAGCTGAAAAGTAAAGGCCCAACATGCTTTTGAAGCCCTTGCTAAATCCGATCCCTGAATGGCTGGGAGGCTGCTGCCAGACTGGACCTTCAAAGCAGAACCAGCTCCATGAGGCCCAGTAAGCACCAACTGGTATGCGCACACTGCGGCCAGAGAGACAGCTTCCCTGGGGGAAAACACAACTGGAGGCCCACGTCCCCTCCACCCTCGTTTGCCAGTGAAATCCAGCAGTGATGGTGGCTGGACAGGACCTGTGCCCACCCCACCCCAGGCTGCCGACTTTGGCTGTGCTGCAGAAGTAACCCAGGGCACCCATATGTAGCCCCACCACCTTTTCCCCCTCAGTGACATGACGACAAGGACACTACCTCGGTCGGGACCCTACACTGCGGCCCTGGCCAGCCATTTCCTAAGGAGGGCACCAACGTGTGTGGTGGGGTGCTGCCAGCACCACCACAGGTCCCTGCCCCACAGGGCTCCAGGGCCTCCCCAACTCAGAACAGCCTCCTGTGCTTCACACAGTGCCACACACCAAGACCTTCATGGAGAAGGTCACAGCTCTGACCCACGTAGCCCTCGTCTGTCTCTGGGTAGACGCAGGGGGGTCACACCCTAAGCAGCAAGGCCGTGAATGTCTGAAATGTGTCTCGAGCTCCTGTCCTGGTGCCACAGGGCCCCGGGCTCAGGAAGCACCATGCTCCAGAAAGCACCTTTGGGAGTGAGAGTTCACTCCCAAAGCCTCCAAACAAAACAAAATAAAGCAAAACTCAAACCCCTACAACACTGAACCCTGATGAGAGGTACCATGAAGCCTCTCATCTTTGCAGCCCCGCCTGCCTCCACAATGTCCAGGCTGGGCTGGCCGTAGGCACTTGGGGTGGCATGGGGGAGCTTAGGCATGGATTCTGTGGGACCCGTGCATGGTTTGCAGTTATGGTGTGCTGAGCTGTCACCCAAGGCTGGGAATGAGCCTCCAGGAACAGAGCTGTTCATGATGCTGCTCCCTGGGAACACAGTCACCTCACCTTACCAAAGTGTCCAAAGCTCACATTATGAGAAGTACTTGGGCAGGGTGGACCTGAGAGCCATAGGGCTCTGCACAATGCTGGGGAGAGGTGGTGTGGCTCTCACAGGTGGGTCTGCGGGGGGCCAGCCATGCCCACAACTAGAAACGCACCACATACTTTGCTTGCCTTTCTTAACAGAAGAGAAATGTGCAAAATAGAATTTCAGAATCCATTTTTGCAGGCAGAACCTTGGAACAAACTTTTCATGACTGCCCAGAGGCAAGGTCTGTTATAGGTAGCACCCCACCAGGGCCTGGAGGAAAACTGAGACCCTCGTCAGAGAGGAGGAAGAGGAGTTGCCCTCCTGACCCTCCAGAGGTCTGAATGAGCTCAGAGCCCTGCACAGCAAGTAATGGGCAAGACAGAGAAATCCCAACTCTACTCCATGACTCCTCTTCCCCAGCCCTGAGACCCCAGCTCCATTCCCAGGTCAGGGGAGGAGAGAGAGGGACTGGCCGGTGGGCCTGGGGTAGAGAGGGTGGGAGACCCAAATTCCAGGAGGAAAGTGCGATGTATGTGTGCCCTAGGCTTACGCACAGACGTGGGGTCCCCGGGGAGTATGGCAGGGGCTCTGGGCAGGAAGATGTGAAGCTCTAGACCTTCTGTTGCTGGAAGGCTGGGGCTTCCCCCAAGCCTTAGCAAGGGCCACCCTCTGCCACCAGTGATTTCTCAGTCCCTCTGGTAATGCTGGGCTCACCTCGTGCCCACTGCCCTTCCCTCTCAACTCGAACCCTGTGCAGAGGGCAGCACCCAGGAGCACCTTCCCACGTCCCCCTCCATGTGAAGCAGCCTGAAGGAGGCTGAGAGGCCCCTGCTCACTGTCCCTCACTTGGCAATCCAGGAGTCGGCTTTCAGGGAATTGATTTTTGGCCGATTTGCCAGGAGTCGATGGGTGGCATGGTGACTAATGGCCTCATCTCCTCCCAGGGGCCAGGTAGAGTGGAGAGAGGCTAGGGTTGGGCATGCATGTGGTCAGAGGAGACTCTGTATGGCTGACACTGCAGGCCCCGTGCCCAGGCTCACCCCACAGACTGTGCGCATTTCCTGCAGTTGGTCTGCTGTGATTTGCCACCGAGTCCAGGCTGAGGCAGGGTTGGGCAGCCAGGAAGGCCCACAGAGGCAGAGCAGCCCTGGGCCTGAGACTGGGAACCCTGAGATGTTGGGAGCAGGGGAGGGTACTGGGGACAGTGGCTGTGTCACAGGTGAGGCCTCTGGAGCTTCAGGTGTCAGGCTGGAGCCTTCCCAACATGGCATGGGGGTGCCTGAAGGAGTGAGGCCATCTTTCCAGAATCTTCAGCAGCCAGTCTCAGCCAAGAGGGACTGAGCAGGACCCTGGTGGCAGAGGGGTGCTGGGGATGCCAGGCCTCCTCTGCCACCTCATGAAGCATCTGCCTGACCCTGGGATCTGTGCCATAGGGTGAGCATGGAGTGAACTGTATCCCCCGAAATGCAGCCTGTTACCCCTAATTCCCAGCATCCAGCCTGCATGAGGCCATCCTGGCCTAGAATGGGCCCTCGGTGCCATGTCACC